TATAGATAGACTATGTGTCATGTCATTTTTTCCCCCTACTGACGTTCTATGCTAAATCAACAGTAATCTTCTTTCATCGCTTATTTGATAATGAATGTTTCAGTACTCTCATGGACTGTACACTCATTTCAGAAGTACCTAAACAGAGCCACAGTCTGTATTAATCTATGAATGTACATAAAAGATCTATATATTTAAATATCGATTTATGACTAGCTTGAATGTTTTCATATTTAAGCTCAAAATTATAACTAACCCAATATACAGTATACATAAAAATGTAAATCTTTGGCATTTTTTTTTTTTTTTTTTGCAAACAGTTTTACAATTAATGTCAATCATTTATTTTTTCCTTATTTATTTATGTTTATTTATTTTCATATCAGATTTGTACTTCATTCATTTCTCTGTTTTAATCTTTATGTTGCAATAAGTTAAAGAATCCATTGAAGCATCTTCCAGCAGCTACGGCCCACGCATGCGCTACTTTCATCTCCTATAGTAGTTAAACTTTCATTTTATGTTATCTAAACTGACTGCAAGAATTTTACAGACTTATTTTTATCATTCACTTGTATTAGCACAAATTTGTCATCCTATATCAAGTTGAAAGATACTTTAATTTAATTTAATAACATTCTAATTTTAATTTTAATTTTACATTTTTTTTCTTATTACAAGATATTCTATTTCTGTGAAAAGTCATGACTGTGCAGTATTTGTTTTATTTCTTTAACAGGCGATGTGCAGATCAAGCTTATGTCATCCTGTAGTTCAGTATTCATGCACCTTAGAAGACTACATTCAAATGAAGGCTGAACAGTTTCAAACAACAATATACCGTTATTAAAAAATCAGACTTGTGCAGTATTGATAAGTTTAAAATGCATTTTGGACAGGACTAAATAAAGTAAGTATAAAATGTCATTTTTCATTAGTTAATGAAAATTAAACGGCTCATGGAAACAGTAACTGCATTATTTCATTACTGTAAAACTAAACTGCATAGATTGATGTATCTCCTTATTTCATTACAGACAAGCACCTCAGTGGAACCTATTCATCAGAAAAATTATAATGTCAAATTAAGCTTTTTCTGCGTTTTCACACAGCACAGATTAATCAAGTGTAAACAACTTGCAGGTTTTATATCAGCCCCCTGTGAAAATGTGGATAGATAGATAGATAGATAGATAGACAGACAGACAGACAGACAGACAGACAGACAGACAGACAGACAGACAGACAGACAGACAGACAGACATAGATAGATAGATAGATAGATAGATAGATAGATAGATAGATAGATAGATAGATAGATAGATAGATAGATAGATAGATAGATAGATAGATAGATAGATAGATAGAGAGATAGATGGATAGATGTATATAGTGAATATGTTCATGTATGTGTGACGCTTAGTGTTTTCAGAACATGCTTACTAAACGAGAACATGAACACACCCAGAACTGCTCTAACAGTAGCTAGTGCTGGACAATAATTAATTGCTTTTATTCTTGCCTAAATAAAACAAATAAGACATTCTCCAGAAGAAAAAACATTATCAGACATACTGTGAAAGTTTCTTTGCCCTGTTGAGCATCGTTTGGGAAATATATATACATATATATATATATATATATATATATATATATATATATATATATATATATATATATATATATATATATATATATATATATATATATACATGTTTTATGCAGTGGTTGCCCTTCCAGCTACAACCCAGTATTGGGAAACACCCATACCCACTCACATTCACACACACACTCATTACCGGAGCACCCAGAGGAAATCCACACTGTAAAATGTAATAAGTTGAACTTACTTTTAAAATCGAAAAAACCGATTGCCTTAAAATTTTATAGTAGTGTATTAATTTTCAGTGAGCGTTACCTATAACATTTTGCATTTGCAACTTCTTAATGAAGTAAACTTCAGTTTTTAAAAAAATTGTTTTTTTATTCAGTTCGTTTTTATTAGTTTTTACAGGTAGATTTACTAGATTTGCTAGTTTCTATATTTTTAAATTAGGATGTTAGGTGCAAGATTCAGAATCAATTCAGTCAGTTAAAACATCACCATGGTCTGAATTGTTTCTTACAGTTAAGCTACTTACAGTTAAACTAAATCAGGATTCACATATTTAAACTCCATTACGACTTTTTATTAAGAAATAAATTTAAGTTTCTCCAGATCCTCTCATTTAGGCCAAAGCCCTCGGTTTACCCGTGCTGCAGTTGTTCAAGTTTAGTTCAGTCACAGCAGGCTGTCATGTACTGTTTGTGTTCGGTTCTCTGAATCACATCCATGCGCAGTACTGTCGGTTTACCGGTTCTTAAATCAGTTATCTGTGTTTACTGTTCTAACTGAATAACTCAGTATCTATTGGTTTATTTCGAGTCAGAGTGGGGTATCAGGCATGTAAAAAGTAAGTATTTTTTACAAAGTGCTTAATAAGTGCTTAACATTAGTGGAGAAGCAAATCGTTTCAAATGATTCGGTTCAATTTGGTGAATTAGTTCAACCGGTTCACTTAGAACATCCAGAAAAATTCCTTTGCAATCACTAATGCAGAAATAAAACCCATTTTTGGGCACAAATGTGTTAAATAAAAAATGTTACGTGTCTGCTCGGATTGTATTTAATATCATCGTGCTGCTATCATGTTCACTCATTGTTTTTGATGACTGAAGGAGGACCGGCTTGATCTGGCCAATAGCAGCAGGATTACAGACTCTGTGGTGCCGTACGGGTCAAACACCTGACAGCACGAAGTAGGCCTACCTGTAAATAGATTTACTTCTAAAAGACTTACAGCATGTATTAACTATGTTTTCAAAGTCGAAAACGAAGAACGTTTTTGTTATAATTTTAGTTAGTTTCAGTTAGTTTTGTATGCACACAATACCATTTCAGTTCCGTTTTCTTTTTATTCTCGTTTTTATTTTTATTTCAGTTAAGACAGAAAGAAAAATAATAAATAAAGTGAACGAGATGGGGTTAAAGATGGGGTGTCCTACTGGTTTAATTTGGTATTTAAGTGCTTTCATAATAAAAATATACAGCAGTTTGTTATCATCAGTCTTTTACTAGTGTTACTTTTTATATTTATTTTAGCTCTAGTTGAACGAAACTGTACACAATGTACTTAATAATAACACTAGGAATAGCTGCACAAGCTGCACAACTTTGACTTTGCTTGTCAAGCAGAAGAAAATAAGTCAAAGGTGTTTTTCAAATAATAATCCAAGTTATTCAGATTTGTGCTCTTGTTGTTTAATCTGAAATATATATATATATATATATACAAAAAAAACATATAAATGAAGAGTTTACATGCAAAAACCTCTAAATGCCATCTGAAAAATTCCTCTAAACTGATCATTTTATCAGGCTACTGTGTGTATGTTTAGTAATATCACTTGTGGCAAGAATAAGTAATTATTCTTTAAAGTCTTTAAAGTGAAATATCTCAAAGTAAACAAAGGAGACTGAGAAAAATGTTCATTTGTGATAAAAATCTCAGACGGCACTTAGGGGTTTTTGCATCTGAACTCTCCAAATATTATCAATACAAACTTTCTATTATAAGTTTAATAACCCTTTGGCATTTTTATACTTTATTTAATTCTTAATATTTACACACAATAAATAAATAAATAAATAAAAATCTGTGAAAGAAATAGTTAGGCTGAGTCAGACAATGTGAGACAAACCTTAGGTATGTGTGTGTCGATGTTAGGGAAAGTAGGTTGGCCATAAACCCTTTTGATAATTCTTTAGCGGCCCCCAAAATACAAGGGTGGGTCCAGAGTAAACCCTATTTCATCAGTTGCGAAACCATCATCATATAGGGTTCTATAGTTTGAGCCATCTAATAATATAAGTGATAGTTTGGGGTGTATTGTTAATCATGACATCTCTTTTTCTTTCTCCATTTTTATGGCAGGTCTTCCAGAAAGTTCCTTCATCTGTGACTGTGAGCTCCTTGAGTATGGCCTTGATGAGTGAGGTAAAACAGTTTCTCATGTATGACTGTCCTAATATACAAAAAAAAAGAAAAAAAGCACACACACACACCACTGGAAATGACCAAAAAGCAGCCATAATCATGATTTTAAAATCTGGATAAATAAAATATTAATTTACATGGAATTACATGCTAGGAGAACCTAAAACTCTACATTAAATAAAAAAGTGATCTTGTTATAGTAATCCCTGCATTTTTTTTACTTAATATTTAAATTAATATAACATTGACTGAGTACTTTAGGGACATCCACGTTACAGTGAAGTTGGTGCTTCCTAAAGTGCTGCATGAAACATTTTTCTCACTTTACACTAAAAAGCAGGTGTAAATTCACCTTCCCATAGGCCGAACTCTCAGCGCTGGGGTGATGGATTTCTGAAAGCCCAGTTGAAGCGCAATCCATCTTTCTCCAGGCTCAGTGTGTACTCTTGTAGGACTACAGCAATGACACCTCATGCACCTCGCTCCTGGGTAGAGACTGCGCTCAGAGCTGTCAGGGATTAAGGTGTTTGTGTGGAACATTGCTGATTCATAAAAGGGCTTTTAGTGACCAAAGTTCTCCATGTTCACTGCAACCCAACCAACCGCAATTGATTCAAAGGCGCTGTGCCTTCTAGAACAAGACAAAAAGTCATATATCTTGTGTCCCAAAATGCAGATATGTATAAAAAGTTATAAGTACGGTTAGTTTCAGGTTTAATCATAATGGTTGAGTCATGTTCAACGCTACTCTAAAATAGACCAACGCATAAACACACAATGCAGTGCGCAGTAGTGCTTAAGTATGTGGGTGTTTATACAGGATTTCCTGCCTTTCTCTTTGTATTTGTTATTTTTCTTTTTTACTAACACCTAATATTAAAAGGCAAAAGCTGAATACAAAATACATATGTTACAGTAAGGTTTTATTTATTAATGGTCACATGTTATACGTTTCTATTAATTTCAGTTAATGCATTTACTAATGCATTTATTCATTTTCCTTCAGCTTAGTTGTTTTATTCATCAGGGGTAGCCACAGCAGAATAAACCTCGAACTTACCTAGCATATGTTTTATGGAGCAGATACTCTTCCAGCCACAGCCAGCACTGGGAAACACCCAGTGGTGTACTACTAAAAAAGGTGGTGTACTATTGCCCACCACCAATGCATCAATGCTTCTTTGATTCATTAGCAATATATATACAGATGTCACCACTTCAAAACGGTCGGCCTGCCGCCATTGTTAACGCCGCCGCGGAGGTACCTACGTGCGCCAGCAGCTTTTGGCCGCTGGGTGGCGCTGTAACTATAGATTTTTAGCTTTGCCTTATCCCAACAGGTTAATTCCACTGTGGTGACCCTTATTAATAAAGGGACTAGACCAAAAAGGAAATGAACGATTAAAGAATCCAACAGAGTACAGTCACAATTATTAATTAATTTTTTGTCCTCAGATAGGGATCTCATTCAAAGCCTTGAATATGGATTTTGACAGTTAAAAATTATTTGGTGAGGTGAATTGGAACTGTAATGCGGTCCTGACTGAAAGACCTGTCTGAAACTACGTAAGCTGACTGGTTTCTTGAAAATAATGAATGGAATGTTCATCAGCCAATCAGAATTAGACATTTAACAGTAACATGGTGTGTATGTACAATATGTCTGCATAAATGAGTTCAGCCCTTACAGATCTCTCTTTTAAATTAATATTTTCTATAGGATACTACACAATACTCTGTGTTTATAATATTAGGTAACACTTTAGAATAATGGTCTATTAGTTAATGTTAGTTGATGTATTTAACATTAACTAAGTATGAATAATCTTGTAAAACATTTATTTATCATAGTTCAACATTAACTAATGCATTAATAAAATCTAAAGCTTGTTAACATTAGCTAATGCACAGGGAGTAACATTAACAAACGTGAATAAATATTGTTATAAATGTATTACTAATTGTTTGTTCATGTTAATAAACACATGAACTAACAGTAATGGACCATTATTTTAAGTGTTACCAAATATTACCTACATTTTTAAGAGAGGAAACATCAAATGAAATATTAAATGTTTCATTTCGTTTAAAATTATGTACAGTACTGCTATTTTTTTATTTATTTATTTATTTTCAATACCTAATTTGAATTTTAACGTATTGTCTTTCTATTCCTATTTCTTCTTCTTTATTTTTTCATTAACCTCTTAAGGCCCAAGGTGTTTTTATACATGCATTTTTTTTTATTTCTCTTTGCTATTTGGGCTTATTGGAACCAAATTAGAATAAAAACCGAAGTATCTTCTTTTTATATGATGTACTTTTAGAGAAAAATTATGTCCATATATGTGGAATCGTGGTCGAATTTAAATAAAACACTTTTTCCTGAATGTTTTTTAATGCATACATGCAGTGCCGGAGTGGGACTCCTTTTCAGCCCTGGAGTTTCAAGCCTTCAAGACTGACTATATTAAAATAACGTCATTTCCAGTGTAGTTTCTAATGACAGTTTAATGTTTTCAAGGACACAGCTGCTGATGTTTTTCATAAATATGAGAAGATTAAAGAGTAGCTAAATCTCCAACACTATTTTTTAAAACATTACAAAACATTGTCCTTTCCTGCAATATCTGAATATATATTCTGTGCAAAATTCTTTATAGATATCCAGTCCTTTGTAACGGTGGTCACGCAAAAAAAAAAAAAAAAAAAAATGTACGACTACATAAGTAACCCAAACAGTATTATATGTCTTAACACTAAAAATGAAAAAAAAATAAAAATAAAAAATAATATATATATATATATATATACTGTATGTATATATATATATATATATATATATATATATATATATATATTATAAAAAATAACCGGCAAGATTTTTTTTAACCACAGTATTACTTTCTATTGATCGCTTAAACTTGTTTTCCCATTTTTAGATTTCTGACCAAGTTATGTCAGATTTATAAATGTAGTGAATTATCTGATTTTCATTGAGCAAGTGTGATTATTATTCGAATTCTTGTATTCACAATGGTGCCACTGTCATCTTTAACCTGCAGGCTGCATTTTGCTACCGGGGCTGTGAAAAAAATTTATCAAAAGAGCGGTGCTGCGACAAAATAATGAATAAGAAGAGTAAGGCTATGGTCAAATAAATAAATAAATGAAAAAAGTGTGACTGCTGAGAGTGGAAGCAGCTATAGGGACACCGCCCCTCGCAGCCAAAAAACGGACCGGCCCACAGGGAATTCTCCCGGTCCCCTCGATTAGCCAATCCGGGCCTGCATACTGTATATGACTTTTTTTTTTTTACTTGCTTTGACTATCAGAGAGTAAAAACTTTTTTTTTTCTATTTTGGACAGTTAAAAGTAGGGTTTGGAACATTTCATATGCTGCAAAGTTGCAGGGCGACACTGTTTGTCTGCAACAAAATATAAAACATTCAAAGTATTTTAAAAAGCCACTTAAGAGCTAAAATGTGCTGTCCACATACAGTATGTGGACACTCAAGCCCTAAGAGGTTAATATAAGGTTATATAGTAGTATAACTGTTTAATAAAAATGTACTTTGAACAAAACGTATTGTCTATATTTACTGAAAAATAGTTAAAAATATCATTTTTTTTAAAGGGATGTACTCATCTATGGCGAGAACTATATCTGATTCTACATATCGTAACCTTAGAATTATAAGGTTCTATCTGACATTCTTGACAAAATTGATTTATTGACATTCTTTTAAAATGATAACTTACAGGTATTTATATTATGGGATGTTTAATATAAGTTTTTGTTTTAATTACATTCTAAAACTTTTTATTTAAAAACAAATGTTACACACACTTGTAGTTGTTTCTACATATTAGGCTGGAATACATAGAGAATGCTGATTCCCCCCAAAACTTAACAAGATATTAATCATTATCCAGTTGAAGTGTTTGTTGTTCTTCCATCTTCGTCGGGAAGTCTGATGAAGGTTTACCCTTTAGTTTCTCATCCTTTCAAATCCGGTGTCCATTTAGCTTTCATGTTCCAGCCTCTTTACCTCTCTCATATACTAATCTGCATAATGAGGATGAGACGTTAATGTCATGCCGCCCTTCCCATAATGCTCTGTGTTTGCGTCCCCATTGTCTTTAAGTAGAGCAGAGGATCAGGTCTGGCCAGGCTCCAGCCTCACTTTACTCCACCCGGGAAAAATGAGACGGAGCTGTCAGAGATGACAAGGACAAATCAGCGTTCAATGAAGTGCTTTAAGTGCTGTTGTTTTCAACAGCCATCGGAACGGCTGCGAATTAGTTGCCCTTTAGAGGCGGCTGAGGAAATGTGCTGGATAAACAGTTAGGAATGATGGGACACAGAGAACGAGGAAATGAAAAACAGGATTATAGGTGTCTTACATAAAGCTGCTCTTTTGTCGTACACGCTGGACTGTGGGTTATCGTGTCTTCAGAAACGGACACACTGTAGTCATCTTATAGTGAACAGGATGTTACACAAACATTGGTTTTGGACCTTTCCTAATAACTCTCTGCCTGAGAATGCTGCATTTTTTACAATGTTGGACCAGAGAGTAGGACAGTGCACATTCTTCTAGTGAAGCATTTTTGAGACTGTCTAAGAAATCGTTAGTGAACAATGAGGTTTAACCTGATATCAGCTGAATGTTAGTAAAGGTACTTGGGATGGAGAGTTAAGATGCCATTGTTTCTTCTAAAATTAGAATTTTCCCCAGCGTTCTGTTTATGTTCAGTTATTTCACCTTAAAGGGAATGAAATGGTCAATTAACTGCCATATAACTGAAATGACCAAACTTACACATAGGAACCTAAGACAAAAATGCTAATTTTAGAAGAAAAATTCAGACGGGACTTTGAGCCTTTTGAATCAGAACTCTTCAATTATTTTCACATGGCATTCAATTAATGTTCATTTGCAAAAGAGTTGCAGGTGATGTCAAAAAAAAAAAAAAAAAAAAAACTAAATATATTT